ATTAGCCAGGCGCGGTGGTGGGCGCCTGTAGTCCCAGCTACTCAGGAGGCTGAGGCGGGAGAATGGCGTGATCCCCAGGAGGCGGAGCTTGTAGTGAGCCGAGATCGCGCCACTGCACTCCAGCCAGGGGGACAGAGCAAAACTCCATCTCAAAAAAAAAATACAAAAAATTAGCTGGGCGAGGTGGCGGGCGCCTGTAGTCCCAGCTTCTTGGGAGGCTGAGGCAGGAGAATGGCATGAACCCGGGAACCAGAGCTTGCAGTGAGCCGAGATTGCGCCACAGCACTCCAGCCTGGGCGACAGAGCAAGACTCTGTCTCAAAAATAAAATAAAATAAAATAATATTAAATTAAATTAAAAAAACTAAAAAGTACAAAACTTAGCCAGGCGTGGTGGCGGGCACCTGTAGTCCCAGCTACTAGGAAGGCTGAGGCAGGAGGATCATTTGAAATGAGGAGGTGGAGGTTGCAGTGAATTGAGATCGTGCTACTGCAATCCAGCCTGGGCAACAGAGTGAGACCCTGTCTCAAAAAAAAAAAAAAAATGTTGCTTCCACTCTATGATTATAGTAGGTTCTACAATTGGCCCCATTTTACAGATGAGAAAACGGAGGCCCAGAAGGATGAATGTCTTTGTGAACCTAGGGACGCCAATGAATTAGAACCAGGCCTTGTAGACCTGGAGGTTCCAGAGACACCCCCTCCTCAGTGAGGGCTTGTTACGAGGGTCTCCCCTGCAAAGCCTCCTCCGTAAGACCCACCCACCTCTCTCAGGACAGGTGACCACATCGTTATGGTGAACGGGGTCTCCATGGAAAATGCCACCTCCACGTTTGTCATTCAGACACTCAAGACCTGCGCCAAGATGGCCAACATTGTGAGTAGGCAGCCCCTGGCATGGCCGGCGTCTCTGACCCCAGCCTGGGTCCTGCCGCTGTAGAGGTTGTAAGCTTCAGAGAGCAACGAGTCATCTTCTCATCTTACACTTTGGACATTGAGGTCCAGAGAGAGACTGGTGTCCCCCAGGGTCACCTGGGGGCTGAGCAGAGCCTCCCCCAGCCCTTCCTGTAGCTGAGCCCTCCTGTCCCTTCCTCTAACAGACAGTCAAACGTCCCCGGAGGATCCAGCTGCCCACCACCAGCAAGGCCAGCCCCTCCGGCCCAGGGCATCGGGACTCGGACGAGGACGATGGGCCACACCGGGTGGAGGACATGGACCAGGGCCAGGGCTATGATGGTGACTCATCCAGTGGCTCCGGCCGCTCCTGGGACGAGCGCTCCCGCCGGCAGAGGCCTGGTCGCCGGGGCCGGGCCAGCAGCCATGGGCGTAGGAGCCCGGGTGGTGACTCTGAGGCCAACGGGTTGGCCCTGGTGTCTGGCTTTAAGCGGCTGCCGCGGCAGGATGTGCAGATGAAGCCCGTGAAGTCGGTTCTGGTAAAGAGGAGAGACAGTGAAGGTGAGGCGGGAGGTCAGGCACGATCAGAACTGGACACAGGGCACTGTGGTCGGGTGGGCGACGGTTTCAGGCCCTCCTCCTGCCTCAGCCTTCCTAGTGACTGGGACTACAGGCACTCGCCACCATGCCTGGCTCATTTTTGTATTTTTAGAAGAGACGGAGTTTCACCATGTTGGCCAGGTTGGTTTCGAACTCCTGACCTCAGGTGATCCCCTGCCTTGGCCTCCCATAGTGCTGGTATTGCAGGCGTGAGCCACCGTGTCCGGCCTGGAGGCTACAACTACACCTGGCATCTTCTTGCTCCTCACTCCCCCCACCACAAATCCCCACTTTTCCCCTTTTCTGTCCCTTTCTCCCTGTCTGTATTTCATATATTCTGTCTAGCTCTTTCTCTGTGAACCTGGTGGTCCCTAATTCTGGGCTGGGTTAAGCCATATCACCTGTCAGCCACTTGAGGCCCAGAACTATTTTATCACCATGTCCCCTCCCTGATCCCCAGAACCGCTGCTTAGGCCACCTCACTTAGCAAAAGGGACTCAGCAAGTGGGATGGAGTGAAGGACCCTGAGCTCGGAGGTGATCCTGGATGATGTGGGAGGCCCAATATCACCACAGGGTCTTTATAAGAGGAGGCCTGGCTGAGTATGGTGGCTGATGCCTGTAATCCTAACACTTTGGGAGGCCAAGGCAGGCGGATCACTTGAGGCCAGGAGTTTGAGACCAGCCTGACCAATATGGTGGAACCCTGTTCCTACTAAAAATACAAAAATTAGCCAGGCGTGGTGGCATGTACCTGTAATCCCAGCTACCTGGGAGGCTGAGGAATGAGAATTGCTTGAACCCGGGAGGCGGAGGTTGCAGTGAACTGAGATTTCGCCACTGCACTCCAGCCCAGGTGATAACAGTGAGACTCATTCTGGAAAAAAATTAAAAAATAAAAAATAGGCTGGGTGTGGTGGCTCAAGCCTGTAATCCCAGCACTTTGGGAGGCCGAGACGGGCAGATCACGAGGTCAGGAGATCGAGACCATCCTGGCTAACCAGGTGAAACCCCGTCTCTACTAAAAAAAATATAAAAAAATTAGCCAGGCACAATGGCGGGTGCCTGTAGTCTCAGCTACTTGGGAGGCTGAGGCAGGAGAATGGCGTAAACCCGGGAGGTGGAGCTTGCAGTGAGCTCAGATCCGGCCACTGCACTCCAGTCTGGGTGACAGAGCGAGACTCCGTCTCAAAAAAAAAGTAAAATAAAATAAAAAATAAAAATTGAAACAATTATGATGTCAGGAGCAATATCATACCCTTAGCCTGGGCATGGCAACATCACGAGCGGCAGGTGACGTGGTGTCCCCGCCCTCTGGAGGTGTCATTGACACTTTCAGATCTTAGATCCCACAGGCGACATCGCCGTTCTCATTATGATGCCATCAAAGTGTTAGGAAGGGAGGGCCCACACCTGGACTCTGTCCTTGCAACAGGAGAATGCCCCCAGGCACCCGTTTCCAGAGTCCTGCCTCAGTTTCCCTCCTCCCCCCTTACAGAGTTCGGTGTCAAGCTGGGCAGTCAGATCTTCATCAAGCACATTACAGAGTCGGGCCTGGCTGCCCGGCACCGTGGGCTGCATGAAGGAGATCTCATTCTACAGGTGAGGCCGGGCTGCTTATCCTATGGGCAGGGAGACCAAGGCAGGGTGGGGACGGGCAGTGCCACTGAGTCATACAGCAACGACAGCAGAGCTGGGCCCCAAACCATTTACCGTAAGTGTTGTTGCTTGTATCTCAAAGGTTGCAGATGGCCACGCATAAAACCACCTTTCTCGGCCGGGCGTGGTGGCTCACGCCTGTAATTGCAGCACTTTGGGAGGCCACGGCGGGCGGATCATGAGGTCAGGAGATGGAGATCATCCTGGCTAACACGGGGGTCAGGAGATCGAGATCATCCTGGCTAACAGCGATCATCCTGGCTAACACGGTGAAACCCCGTCTCTACTAAAAAAAATATAAAAAAATTAGCCAGGCACAATGGCGGGTGCCTGTAGTCTCAGCTACTTGGGAGGCTGAGCGCCACTGCACTCCAGCCTGGGAGACAAAGCCAGACTCCATCTCAAAAAAAAAACAAACAAAAAAAACACCCTTCTCTCCAGCTACTGCTAATCCATGGCCAAATGTCAGTTTCTAGTATCCTCATGGAGTTGTCTGTTTCTAATACCCTCTAGCTTTGATGTGCATCAGAGAATCATGTGGGCAGCTGATTCCTGGACCTACCCTAGATGGCTGGATGCTAATGACCCAGTCACCATGTTTAGGGGAGCTGCCCTGCCCTAAAGGATGGTTTCTTTCTGGATTCTTCCCCTGAAAATCTGTTTCTAGTGACTCCTAGTGTTTGATTTCCAAACTGCTTTCAACTGGTTATTTTCAGTGTCTTTAAAGTTATCTGTTTCTTTTCTATTTTTTTTTGAGACAGAGTCTTGCTCTGTTGCCCAGGCTGGAGTGCAGTGGCACAATCTCGGCTCACTGCAACCTCCGCCTCCCAGGTTCAAGTGATTCTCCTGCCTTAGCCTCCTGAGTAGCTGGGATTACAGGTGCCCACCATCACACCCGGCTAATGTTTGTATTTTTAGTAAACACGGGGTTTCACCATGTTGGCCAGGCTGGTCTCGAACTCCTGACCTCAGGCAATCCACCCGTCTCGGCCTCCCAAGGTGTTGGGATTACAGGCGTGAGCCACCGCTTCTGGCTAAGTTATCTGTTTCTAGTGACCTGAGCAACTGTGTTTCTAGTGTACTGCAGCAGACACCAGAAATAGAGAACTTGGTGGGGGTACTAGAAATTTACAATCCCAGAGCCAGGCCTGGTGGCTCATGCCTATAATCCCAGCACTTTGGGAGGCCGAGGCAGGAGGATCTCTTGAGCCCAGGAATTCAAGACCAGCCTGGGCAACAGAGTGAGACCCCATCTCTACAAAAAAGAAAATTAGTGGTGCCACACACCTGTGGTCCCAGCTACTTGGAGGCTGAGGTGGGAGGATCACCTGAGCCTGGGAAGTTAAGGCTACAGTGATCTTGAGCTGTGATGATGCCACTGCACTCCAGCCTGGGCGACAGAGCAAGACCCTGTCTCAAAAATAAATAAATAAATAAATAAATAAATAAATAAATAAAATGCCAGGTGTGGTGGCTTATGCCTGTAATCCCAGTACTGTAGGAGGCTGAGATAGGAGGACTGCTTGAGCCCAGAAGTTTGAGACCAACCTGGGCAACATAGCAAGATGGCCATCTCTATTAAAAAAAAAAAAAAAAAAAAAGGGGGCCAGGCGCGATGGCTCACGTCTGTAATCTCAGCACTTTGGGAGGCCGAGACGGGCGGATCACAAGGTCAGGAGATCGAGACCATCCTGGCTAACACGGTGAAACCCCGTCTCTACTAAAAATACAAAATATTAGCCGGGCGTGGTGGTGGGTACCTGTAGTCCCAGCTACTCGGGAGGCTGAGGCAGGAAGGAGAATGGCATGAACCTGGGAGGCGGAGCTTGCAGTGAGCTGAGATCGGCCCGCTGCGCTCCAGCCTGGGCGACAGGGCAAGACTCCATCTCAAAAAAAAAAAAAAAAGAGTTAAAAAAACAAAATAAAACTAGAAGAAACCGAAAATCCCCAGGGTTACTGAAAATAAACCTCCCAAGGGAAAATGTTAGAAGTGGGTTTTTGGGGCTACTGGAGATGACATTAAGTTCATTCTTTCTTTTTTTTGAGACGGAGTTTTGCTCTTGTTGCCCTGGCTGGAGTGCAATGGCGCGATCTCGGCCGCCCTCCCAAAGTGCTGGGATTACAGGCATGAGGCACCGCACCCGGCTGACATTAAGTTCTTTCTAGGAATTGTGTGTTTCTAATCTACCTCCAGATGACTTTTCCTTTCTTTCTTTCTTTCTTTTTTCTTTCCTTTTTGATATGGAGTGTTTCTCTGTCACCCAGGCTGGAGTGCAGTGGTGGGATCTTGGCTCACTGCAACCTCTGCCTCCCGGGTTAAAGTGATTCTCCTGTCTCAGTCTCCTGAGTAGCTGGGACCACAGGCGCCCACCACCACGCCCGGCTAATTTTTGTATTTTTAGTAGAGACAGGGTTTCACCACGTTGGCCAGGCTGGTCTCGAACTCCTGACTTCAAGTGATCCGTCTGCCTCTGCCTCCCAAAGTGCTGGCATTACAGGCGTGAGCCACCGCACCCAGCCCTAGATGTCTGCTTCTAGTTATGTCCCAGAAGATTGGGTATTTCTATTATCTTTTAAGTATCTGATACTCCTTCTCCTCCAATTAGAGTTGTTTATAATGTCACCCTCACATCTGTTCCTAGTATCCCCTGAGAAATTTCCACTTTTGGTAAGAAAGGAGAGTCAACCTGTTTCTCATTTTCTCCAGTGTCTCCCACCCCTGGATGTTCTAAGGAACATTTTCTGTTTCTAGAATTCGGTGATCAGTTCTTGGTGTGGTCTCCACTCACAGCAGGAATCCAATTCTAACGTTTTCCTTAGGGTGTGTCTGTTTTTAGCAACCCCTGGGGGAATTGTCTGTTTCTAGTTCCCCCACCAAACTGTTTCTACTGTCTCCCGTCTCTCATTAACTCACTTCCTCTCTTTCATTCCTGGTCCCTTTCAGATCAACGGGGTGTCCAGCCAGAACCTGTCACTGAGTGACACCCGGCGACTGATCGAGAAGTCGGAAGGCAAGCTAAGCCTGCTGGTGCTGAGAGATCGCGGGCAGTTCCTGGTGAACATTCCGCCTGCCGTCAGTGACAGCGACAGCTCGCCGTTGGAGGGTGAGGACGCAGAGGATAGGCCCTGGGAGGGGGTTGAATGGACGGCAGGGAAGGCGGGAAGCCCCAGGCAGGGCCAAGGACAAACCAGTGAGCCTGGTCCCTAGAGGCTCAGAGAGTGGCAGGAACTTGCCGAAGGTCACACAGAAAGTCAGGAGTACAGGGGGGCGATCTTGGCTCACTGCAAACTCCGCCTCCTGGGTTCAAGTGATTCTCATGCCTCAGCCTCCTGGGTAGCTGGGATTATAGGCGTGAGCCACCGTGCCCACCTCCAGAGCTGAATATTCTAACTGAGCTTCTGACTTTGGTCTAGGGCCCTTTGTTTAGAGGGGTCTTGATATGCCCCTCTGTAAAATGGGTCCAGTCTGGAAGGCGTGACCATGGCTGATGAGATGTCCTCTCCCCCTGCAGACATCTCGGACCTCACCTCGGAGCTATCGCAGGCACCACCATCCCACATCCCGCCACCACCCCGGCATGCTCAGCGGAGCCCCGAGGCCAGCCAGACCGACTCTCCCGTGTAAGTATCACCCGTCAGAATAGTCGATGGGAGGGAGAGGGGAATGCGGGCGTAGCTTTCTACTGGGGGTAACCTTGAGGATGCAGTCCTGTATTTCTAGCACCTGCCTCAAAACACCTCTAGCCTCTACCCATTACGCAGTTCCAAAGCCATGTCCACATTTGTAGGTGTTGGTTACAGCAGCACCCCACTTCTTAGTATCAAACTCTGCCTTAGGCTGGGAGCGGTGGCTCACGCCTGTAATCTCAGCACTTTGGGAAGCCGAGGAAGGTGGATCATCTGAGGACAGGAGTTCAAGACCAGCCTGGCCCAACATGGTGAAACCCTGTCTCTACTAAAATACCAAAATTAGCCCGGCGTGGTGCCAGGTGCCTGTAATCCCAGCTGCTTGGGAGGCTGAGGCAGGAGAATCGCTTGAACCCAGGAAATGGAGTTTGCAGTGAGCCGACATCATGTCATTACACTCCAGCCTGGACGACCACAGCAAAACTCCGTCTCAAAAAAAAATTTTTTTTTTCCTCTATTTATTTATTTGTTTTGAGACCGAGTCATGTGAGACTGGCTAATTTTCGTATTTTTGGTAGACATGGGGGCTGTGTTGCCCAGCTATGTTGCCCAGGCTGGTCTTGAACTCCTGGGCTCAAGCATTTGGCCTGTCTCAGCCTCCCAAAGTGCTGGGATTACACGTGTGAGCCACCACGCCCAGCCCAGATAAATTAAAATTCTGTTTATTTTGTTTATTTGTTTGTTTTTTTGGAGACAAGGTCTTGTTCTGTCGCCCAGGCTGGAATGCAGTGGCGTGATCTTGGCTCACTGCAACCTCTGCCTCCCGGGTTCAGGCAATTATCCTGCCTTAACCTCCTGCGTAGCTGGGATTACAGACACCCACCATCATGCCTGGCTAATTTTTGTATTTTTTTTTTTTTTTTTTTTTTTTTTT